GAGACCAGGTGTTTAAATACATGAGTCCATGGGGACATTTCTCATTCTACTGTCATGCGTAGTTTTAAAAAGTATGTGTGTTCACTCTCTCCTCTCCCCCAGATTCACTGATCCTCCCTTTCCCTTGAGAAAAGAGCAGACATCCCAGAGATGTCAACTGAACACAGCATAACAAGATACAATAAGACTACGCATATCTCTAAAGGTTATAAGCATCCCAAACACCACCACCAACTGAGACCAGGTGTTTAAATACATGAGTCCATGGGGACATTTCTCATTCTATTGTCATGTGTAGTTTTAAAACGTATGTGTGTTCAAGTGTGTGTGTGTGTGTGTGTGTGTGTGTGTGTGTGTGTGGTGTTCCAAGTGCCCAGAGTAGGCACAAGAACAGTTCAGCTGGCTGTTTAACTATTATTATTCACTTCCTCATGACAACTAGGGCAACAAGGAAGAGTCCCAAGAGCTCTCAGTTAAGAAGTAAAACTACCCATTATCATACTTTTAACTTCACTACAGAAAACTAAACACCAGAAGGAATGTTTATGAACAGACCTTAGTGTTAGCATCGATATCAATTTGAAGGGTTTCTATCTATAGTTTTAACAGTGATCAACATGTGTCCAGTATATCGGGAGAGGCATTTCCTCTAATATTTGTCAGTAGAAGTAGCAATAGTTCCAAATAACTTTTCTGGGTCTTTGGTGGCCAATTGGTTTCTAAAGGCAACAACTTTGAACTTGCCTTCTATGAGAAGCATGGTGTGGGTGGGATTGGAGAATCCTGGCCTCCCTGACTCTGGGTCTGTTCCTCAAGTCCATGTAATAAAAATGAGGGTTATCATGTTTACTTAGGATTGAGTCAGGTTTGGTCCCATTTGAGAGTAGAGGATGGTAATTGAAATGGCCTCTAGTTCCCCCTTTGTAAACAGACATGCTATGTTTCCTTTTTTCTCCATAGGTACCGAAAGCTTCCTGACTACCATTACCCCCTCATTTTCAAGGATTGCCTGAATGCCACCATCCATTTCCTGAAGAGCCTGGAAACCTATGGGGTAGACCCCTCTCGGGTAGTGCTCTGTGGAGAGAGTATTGGAGGTTGGGCTGTGGCCAGTACGATTCAGGTCTTTGTCAGTAGCCCTAGTCTCCCCCAGATCCGGGCTCAAGTTCTGATTACTCCAGTAATCCAGACCATTAATTTCCGTTTACCATCTCATCAACAGAATAAAAATGTGCCATTCCTTACCAGAGACATTATGTTTATGTGTTTGTGTAAATACCTGGCCATCGACCTCTCTTGGAAAGATGCCATGTTGACAGGTGATGTTATACCTCTAGACATGTGGAAAAAATATAGGAAATGGCTCAGCTCAGACAACATCCCCAGAAGGTTCTGGAGTTCAGACTCACAACCTGAGTTTCTTGGATGTTTTAATGAGGCTGCCTACCTAGAAACAAAACAAATTTTTGATGTAGAGATTTCACCTATCTTAGCAGATGATAAGACCATTGCTCAGCTTCCTGAGGCATTCCTAGTGACCTGTGAGTATGACATTCTCCGTGATGATGCCTTGCTCTACAAGAAGCGCTTGGAAGACCAGGGGGTCCCTGTGAGCTGGTACCATGTGGAGGACGGATTTCATGGGAGCCTAACATTGTTTGATTGGAAGTTTTTCTCTTTCCCCTGCTCCATGAAAATAGTAAACACTGTCGTCAGTTACATAAAGAACATATAATAATTACCCTGATCTCTGAGTGTAATAAAATAAAAATTTCCCATGCTGTGGAATTTGTTGAATTTTGTTTTGTTCTGGGAGGAGATGCTTACACTGTGTAGAGTGTAAGAGGATGAAGTGAAAGCAAAGAAGCGGTGGCTTTATAGTAAAAATACCTCAGTATATGTGTCTCCAGTGCTAATCATCCAGTGTTGTATCTTATGATACTCTACTACAGCCATTCAAGTGACAGAAACATCAATGCGAGGACATATGTCTGGGACTTCTGCATAGTTCTTTTGTTAGGAGTCTTAAATTTTCACAATAGCAACTAATGAAAGATGAAAGACACTAAGATCAAAATAAAAATGAAACTCAATGTACACAGTTAAGTGTGAGAATTCTGCAGAAATAGAATACCACATTTTCAATAACACCAGAAAAGGAACTACACCTAGATGGAAATTTAAAAAGGAATTCTAACAGAGCATAATCAAGAACTAAAGGTATCTCATAGTAGATACTAATTTAGTCATGGCCTTTTGAGTTTCTGATAAATCAGAGATGCAATTATTGAGATTTAATTACGGGACAAATTTCTCCTGAAACCCCCCTTTTCCCTCTTCTGTGATTTTTTAAAACATTTTAAAATCATTTACCCTCTCTCACTTTCCCATGTACTCTCCCCCTTCTCTCTCTCTCTCTCTCTCTCTCTCTCTCTCTCTCTCTCTCTCACACACACACACACACACACACACACACACACACACACACTCTAAGAGCAACATAGGAAAGACAGCATACGGTTTTTGTCTTTTGGATCCTGGCTCAACTCAATTATATTTCCACATATACCCATTTAAAATTTTTATTTACCATTCTATTTTCCTTGATGTCTGAATTAAAGTCCATCACATAAGGCTGGTGAGACGGATTAAAGGGTAAAGGTACTTGCCACCAAGCATAATAACCTGAGTTTGATTCCACAGGGTGGAAGAAGAAAACCAACTCCTCCAAATGCCTTCTGACCTCCATATATGAGCCATGCCAGGTGTCCCGCCCCCAGACACACAGTAAATAAATAAGGTAATAAAAAATTCCATTATGTATGAGTAGCACACTTTCATTATCCATTCATCTATTTATAGACATCTTGCATGATGCCATTTGTATGCTGCTATGAGTGCAAGAGTTATTAACTTGGGTGTGCAGGTATCTTTGTAGGCATCTATGGAGTCTTGGATAGATGCCCAGGAGTGGCATATGTGGATCATTTGGATATTTTTTTAAGCGTACTGAGAAACCTTCACAGGGATTTCTTTCACGGGTGTACCAGTTTATAGTCCTACTGGCAGTGAGTATTCCTGATCTTTCACACCCTCTTGGGTATTTGTTATTTCAAAAAACTATTTTTGATAGCAGTAAGATGGAAATTCAGTCTGATTTAATTTTCCTCTTCCTGATGGCTAAAGATGTCGAACACTTTCACAATTACTTGTTGGCCTTTTGCATTTTCTCCTTGAAGAACTCTGTTTTAAGATCCCCAGCCCATTTTTAAAAGAATTGTTTCCTTGTTTGGGTTTTCTTTTTTAGTTCTTTGTATTTCCTAGATATTTATCAGGTTTACATTTTGTGTTTCTATAATTTGGCAAAGAGTTTCTCCCACTCTGTAGGTGGCCTCTTCACTTGATTAACAGTGTCTTTTGCTGCACACAGCATTTTAATGGTAGGAGCTTCCCCTTGCGGATACTTAGCTTTCTTTTCAGAGCAATTGTCTCCCTATTGATCAGTCATTTCCTGTCACTGAAGCTTCTTTCCAACCTTCTCCATGAACTTCAGGTCCTACATTAAGATCTTTGATCCACTGAGAGTTGATTTTTCTGAAAGTGGAGCAATAGGAGCCTAGTTTCATTCTTCTACATGTGGTTACCAGTTTTCGGGTATCATTTGTTGAAGAGGCTTATCTTTTCTCTGGTGAGTGTTTTTAGCATCTTTGTCAAAACCCAAGTGATTGCAGATGCATGGGTTCGTGTCTGAGTCATCTATTCTGTTCCCTGGATTTTCTTGTCTTTTTATGCCAGTACCACAGTTTTTATTATCATAGTTCTCTTTATATGCTAAAACAATTCACCATGAGAAAGAAATGATAGGAACATTCCCATTCACAGCAGTCACAAAAATATCTAAGAATAAATCCAACCAAGGATGTGAAAAATCTTTACAATTAAAACTTTCAGTTTCTGAACTGACTTGAACAAGGGGGAGTTCTTGGTCCCCAGAGTGATAGCTGGGAAACCAGCATGGGACTGATCCCGACTGCATTGAATGTGGGTGTCAGCGAGGAGACCTTGAAACTTTATGGGGCTTCTTGTAGTAGATCAGTACTTATCCCTAGTGTAGGAATGGATTTTGGGAGCCCATTCCACATAGAAGGATACTCCCTGAGACTAGACACACAGGAATGGGCCTAGGCCCTACCCCAAAGGATATGACAGACTCTGAAGACCCGCTACGGAGGGCCTCAGAAAGGGTATGGGGATAGGTAGGGTGTTAGTTGGGGCGGGTGATCAGGGAAGGAGGGGAGGAAGAGGGAACTGGGATTGGCATGTAAAACAATCTTGTTTCTAATTCAAATAAAAAAATAGAGGAAAAAAAAAACCTTTAAGTTTCCAAAGATAGAGATTGAAGAAAACACTAGGAGATAGACTTATCACACTCAGAGTGTGATAGGATGAATTTTGTAAAAATGATCATCCTACCAAAAGCAAGTTACAGATTCAATGCAATCCCAAGCAAAATCCTCATGACAGTCTTCACAAAACAGAATTAAACCATCTTAAAGTTCATATGGAACCACAAAAGGCTCCAGATAGCCAAAGGAACTCTAAGTAAAAGAACAAGTTTGGTGGAATTAGAATACCAGATTTCCAGCTATATTACAGAGCTTTAGCAGTATAAAGTGTGTGTGAATGGCAAAAAACCAACAAACAAAAAACAGATTGATCAATAGAACAAAATAGAAAACCCAATCATGGGTATCATCTACAGCCATCTACTTTCATCAAATATGCCAAAAAATATACACCAAATGTAAGATGGCATCTTCAACAAATGGTGCTTGAAAACTGGATGTCCACATATAGAAGAATGAACCGTATCTATTAACATGAAAGAAAAACAACTCCAAACAGACCAAGGGTCTTCGTGTGAAACCTGAAATGCTGAAGCTTGTAGATTAAAACGTGGGCAGGACAGTAAGCAGGTAGGCATAGTGCCCTACAAAATGTAGTTGCAGTAAAGGAATTTCTGAAGAGGACTCCATTTGCTCAGTAATTAAGACCAACAATTGACAAATGAGACCCCACAAAACTGAAAATCTTCTTTACAGAAATGGAAATAATCAACTGAGTGAAGAGGAAGCTCATTGGGTGGAAAGACCATATATATTTAGAGTTATTATTGAAAGATGTGTATTAGTTCCTTTCATCTTGTTGGCTATGTAGTTATTGGTTCTTTTTAATTCCTCCATGCTTAACTTTTATTCAGGCATGATTTGGTCTTCCATGTGGCTATAAAAAGGTGTTTGTCTTTCTGTCCAGTCTGAAGAATTCCTTCAAGTATCCTGTAGAGCTCAGGAAATGGTCATGAATTCCTTAAGCCTGTTTTTTATGATGGAAAGTTTTGCCTTCTCCTTCAATTATGACCAATAATCCTTCTGGGTGTAATAGTCACATTTGATTGTTGCAATTCAAAACTTGAAGAACATCATTCTAATCCCTCCTGACTTTTATAGTTTCTCACGTGAAATCTGATGTTACTCTGACAGGCCTGCAATGATATGTAATTTGTTCTTCTTTTCTGTCACTTTCGATGCTTAATATTTAAATGTTTAGTAATTGTATGGCAAGAGGACATTCTTTTCTGGTCTTCCTGTTTGATGTTTTAAACTATTCCTGTATCTAAATAGTTGTTTCTTTGTTTAAGTTAGGGGTATTTTCTACTATGATTTCATTAAAGTTATTATCTATATGTTCAGAAAGCAATTCCTCAGCCTTTACTATCTCAACTATTTTTTAAAACTTGTTATTGATTCTTTGTGGATGCCACATCATGCATTGTGATCCCACTCATTTCCCTGTCCCTTCACTTCCCCCTCCCTGCCCTTGAAACCTCCCCCCAAAAATAAAATTTCAAAGTAAAAGTAACAAAAAGGCAAACCAACAAAAACAAACTTTCAAAAACTCTCAGCATGGAAGCTAGAGTATGGCCCAGTCAGTCACAGTAGACCCTTTAGTCCAAACATCTTTACTTGTAAGTATTCGTTGCAATGAGTCATTGGTCTGCTTCGAGGTCCCTGGTTTCTGCTGCACCCTTGATACTAGGCCCTCACCGGGATTCCTCTTGGGTATCCTATTGTTGCCTTGTCTCATGGAGATCCTGTAGCTTTGAGTCTGCAGGGCTGGTCCCTTTATGTGCCCCAGCAGTTCATAGATGAGGTGGGTGTTGGGTGGACTACCTTGTCCTGGTTCTACGCCTGGGTGATAGCTGGATTTGTCAGCCTGCCGACTTCCCTCCATGGTCGCCCACTGGGGAGTTGTGCAGCACCGCCCTGGATAGCCCACCCCTGCATCAGACTGCAAGGAGCAGGGCCAGTTCTGCTCTCACACCCTCATATCCCAACTATTTTTAAATTTTTGTGTTTTTAGAATCCTGAATATCTTGCTGTTCCATGACATACCTTTCTATTAATTTACCTTGGTCCTTGTATTCCAATGACTCCCCCTCGACTTTGAGCTCAAATATTCTGCCCTTCCCCTTGCTTCCTTCTCTTGAAGAAGAGACTTCCACAGACTTCTAAATTTTGACTTATGTCTTTAATTTCCATCAGTTAAGTATGGTTATTCAGAAATATTTCTTCCACCTTATTGAATTACTCTTCTGTATCATGCATCGTCTTCCTTGTTTAATACATTTGCTTGTGTTCCCTTAGGGCTACTTCAAGAGTTTATTTTCTTAGACTT